TGACTTTCAGCTGGACACACACCTTCTTATACTGTATAAACGCCTGTTTAATATGGTAATTATTGGAAAGCCGGACAGTTTGAAAACTTCTCCAGCAACCTTGCTTCTGATATTTTGAACGCTTTTTTGCAACGTCAGTTTTTGGCGCCTTACTGATGCTGCGTTGGCATCCATCTTCCATTAGCACCCACCCGCTGTGGGTTAAAGCCATATCACGACCAGCCTCATAAGGCAATCTAATTAGATTGATAGTTCTGCGGCCTTGACCTGACGTGTGACTGACGGGTGCACGCCTCGCCTCTTTAAGCACCACTTACGGTCGTCGTTATTACCGGAGCAACCATGGCGAACCTTGAAGAGCCTCTGGTTCCTAATATTGCCCTTATTGGGTCTTAGCTCAATTTCAGCGGTACTTCATGCACTTATGTGTATGCATATATGCATATATGCAGTTCAGCAGCCCTCGAGCAAGCAAATCATAGACTCAATCCCACTTCGTGATGCGTACTCAACCGTGTCTACAACACAGCCTACGGTCGCCTATGGAGTGGCACGCGGGCACCCATCATCCCCGGGTGATGCGAGGCTACCAAACTGTGCTACTCAATCGAGAACTTGACGAAATTATTTGATTCTTGCACTTTCTTTGGCCCCGATCATGGGCAAGTAATTTGGACTCGGCCGCTATGGGTAAGGAGCTGAAATGATTTGCTCGTGAGCATATTTACCCATTGTTGTGTAGAAATTGCGTCCGCATGTCAGAACTGCCTCAGTCACACGATGGCTTCCAAATGGTTTGATACAGAATCTGATGCACCGCCTGCCCCCTGCTGACCTAGTAATCGGTAGACTGATCACCACGATCTTGCATGATATAGTACAGGAAGGCGGCCTTGGCTGAGGAATTCCAGGGACAGGAACTCTTATTGACAACGAATATCATTGGTAACCAGCTGAGGGATAGATGTTCCTCATTGATGCTCGACAAAAATTGGAGTTACGGAAGAACACTTATGCAAATAGTAACAATTACCGTGCTATGCTCCATGGCCTGCACATGAGGCAGTGACACTTGGAAATTGGTAATTCGAAAATGTTGGCATAACTCCAGACATTGCACCGTACTTAAAATCCCAGAGGCCACTGCGCCACAACAACTCCGTTGAGGCAAACTTTTAGAACAAGCTTTTGTGAACCAATATAGATGAGACGTCTTATAAACAAACAAGACGTCCTAAAGTGACGCAAGTCCCGAGAAATGTGCTCGTTACGAGCTTACTTGAATACGGTATTCAAGTGAATGCTCATTATCAAAGAAGAGAATTCCAGGACTCCAGAATGACCCTAGCAGATGATAAATCAAAGAAAAACGCAATAGTTTGTTTGTTGCAATGAAACTGTTGGACAAAATTCAACCCATGATCATACATCACTCATGAGATGTCCTGCGCCATAGTGCAGTACTTTTGGTGACATGATGGTGGTAATTTTTCACATATGCATCGTGATTCATTCTGCGCTGCGCACATGAAATCTGGCAGCTCCGTGTTCTTGATCCGATAAAGTGTGAGCCCGCTTCACTTGGGCCCTGCACTTGTGCTGTCGTGTAAATACCCAGCCTCATGATCGGATAGCACCGACGGATAATCATCGCGAACTTTATTCAAGCCTATTAGTGGGCTTGAATACCCATACCGGATCAGATAATACTGTCAGGTGCTCCAAATGAATGGAAATAAATGACAAATCATATGTACATTCGTTCCGAGTGTGCAACACCATTTTCTCCGATATGAGGCATGTGACTGTACCACAAGTCAGCTCCACAAGCGTGAACTGCTGCGTGAGGATTTGTGTTGGCCATTGAGAGGATTTTAAAAATTCGCGTCGAAGACACGAGAGCTGTGTCCACCTCACGAGACATATACTTTCATAAGGGTGAGCCCTCGACAAGGCTTATTAGGAGGAATCTGCTCATGTCCTTGCCGCTTTGCAGCATTTTGATTGTGTTTGCTCGTTTGGTTTGGTTGGAAAACGTGTTTGTGAAACTGCGTATAAGCGGTCTACCTAGACTTGTAGGTATAGCCGCATGAATAGCGTGAGTCGACAACAGTCCAATTCTTGTGTGGTGATTTTCCAAAGGCGAGATTGCTCATCTTCTTTTCACACTCTGGTTTTCAATGTTGACGGAGTGCATGCGTTCACGTATACTGGATCAAGGGCGCTGTCTGCGACAAAGGGCGCCTGACATGGCGCCGTTTGCAGCCGTTACCGTTGCATGACTGGCACAAACACTCTGTGATCTACTGATCCACTCGTGAGTAGATATTAATCATCCGGAAATTTGCTAGGCGTTGATGCGACATTGATGGGCACTTCCATCAACGCCGGTCTTAAGAGCTGGTGTGTGTAGAGCGGCCTTGATGCAATGTTGCATCAAGAGCAATATGGCAACGTTGCATCAATGCCTGAATTGATGGAGTGTCACCATCAATGGCTTTTGCCCGGACGTTGCTGCAACGTTGCAGCAAGACGTGTTGATAGTGTAGTTGCAGCAAGATGCTTTGTTGGTGCACAGTGTCAATGGCACGCATTGCTGGGTGGGCGGGCGGTGCGTGTGGTGTGCGTGTGCGTGCTGTGGGTGGCTGGGTGGGTGCTTTGAGGTGGGGTGGCCGGCATGTTCGCTTTGAGGATCGCTTGATACTATGGTGCGTTTCGCGTGCGCAAGCCATGTTTGATTGTTGGAGGCCACAGCCAACTGCTGTGTGTGGTCAACAGAGTCGGAACCGCTCACGCTTCGGTTGGAAGGTGATCCTCTGCGCATGCAACCACAAGATACTTAACAGCCGCCAGCTGCACATACTGTCACCTGCAAGGCAAAACAAACATGCCCACACTCAGCGCCCCCTGCAAATGCAGCACACATGATCAGTCGCTCGCGTTCCTTTGCTCACGGGCTGTGCAACGCACCTGGTGCACACGCACGGCCACAACAAGGCCTGGCTATGACCTTTCTCCATTGCCAACGAAATTCGATCTGAAGATGCCGCCGCCGGGTAGATGGCAAGGGCGGGCAAGGGCGCCGCCACTGCACCCCAGTCCACACAGCTCGGCCCTCCGCACACCACGCGTACCTACCCCCACAACGCGCACAGTGTCGCCACGCCGCCACCACGTGCGGGGTATTGCGACTCAAGAATATCGTGCCCGGAGATCTTCATCATGGCCCTCAAAATTCAAACGGTGGAGCATTCCTAAATGACAAATCCAGAAGCAAGGCATCGCTTACGAGGCTGGCGTTTGAACAAAGTCGTTGTTGCCTCCAGTGGCCAGCGCTAATGCTAGACATCCCACAGCGGGGTGCAGCACAAGGGCGCCACCGCCAGGCCCCTCCCCGTGTGTGCGCGTCATGGGTCAGCGCTTGAGTTTGAGCAGGATCAATCCTCCGACGATCTCGAGGATGGCCATCAATTCGATGCTGGCCGACGAGTCCGATGGCAAGTCTGATGGAAACCTTGCTCTTAGGACAAGGTTGCGAGCTCTTCAGTGAGAACACGTCGCCTTAACCCTGCAAATGCTGGACAGCGTTGAGCCGGCCTATGTCTCGATCGGATGGCAAGGTCGGTGCCTAGTGGCATCGATGCAGGGAGCCAGCCCTCGGCAACTGACAGGGCTGGCCTGCAGTCGAAACGGGGTGCGGCGCCACGTCGTGACGTTGGGTGGCACCCTGCAACAGAATGGGTGATCGCAACCCAGGGACACTTGCTACTAGGGCATGTCCAGACTTTGCTGCAATTGGCCTTGCTACAATACTGATGTGCAGTGGCATTGATGCAACATTGCTTGAAAATGCACCAACCAGCCCTGATGCGATGTTGGCAAGTTGTACCATTGATTCAACGTTGCAGCAACGTTGATGGGGTGGTAGTGCACCAGCAATATTGCCGCAATGTTGCCGAAAGACACGTTGCTGGGTTGTTGACGAACCCCGGCGTTCGGGAGCCGTTGCTCCATGGGCATTGCCTCAACATTGTTGGTCGTTGCTTCAATGACCCCGTTGCATCAAGCCCCATCAACATTGCATCAACGCCTACCGAATTTCCAGATGATAAACACGATGCAGTCGGCGGTTCATCGCCAAATCTGGACCCGCTGTGAGGTGCTTGCTAGCTCTTGGCATGCCCTCCATTCCACCCCCCGCTCCTTGAAGTGATGTTCGAATTAAATAATTCGACAACAAGAACATGGACGCACTTGTGCCGCTTCCCAAGTCCAGCGAGCCGCCATGTCGGGATGCCCAACAAACAATAGCGTTGGATGTGTTTTAAGCAACTTGAACAAAATGAACTATCAAAGCGTGACGGTGAAACTCGAAAATGCGTGGATGCCATTAGCATTACTTATAGTACTACGACAACAGATCAGTCGAGTTGGGACTTTTCATCTTTGATTCTCACGGATATCAGCTGTTTGCCTTTGTCAAAAAAGCCACACATCCCAGTCCCTCTAGTCCGTATATACCAACATCGATTGCATTCCGACATATGTCAAAAATGTAGTTGCACAAGCGTTACCGGTTACGGGAGACCAGGTAGGGTGGCATAAAAAATTTGTCAATGCCAGGTTTGTTTTTACGTTTGGCTTTTTGCTCTTAAAAACATAAAAACTATTTCTTTTTGGTAGAAACGTAAGTACGATCAGTTATCACGGCGTGAATAATAAGCCTGGACAATGCTCTCCCACGGCGCCACATTGGGGCTACAAACCCCACGCTGCGTTTCAAATTTCCTGCGTTCTCCCTGCACTGCCTTGGCCTCTGTAGGGTAGGTCGGTTTCGAACATGACCTGGGTGTTGGGCCCTGCGCGATGCCATCTCGTGCGCGGGGCCCCCAGCGGCGCCGCGATCGGCCGCCCGAGCTTGGCAGGCAGACCGGCCCGCCGCCGGCGACCGCACCCCCCGCCGCTGGGTGCCCCCGGGGGGCCATCGCGGCGCGATCGCGATGTCCCGGACGCTCTCGGAACGGTCGGCGGGGATCGGTGCGGAAGACGGCCGGACGACCGATTGGAGCGGTGGCCAGACGGGGAGGATTGGGGCGATCGGCGTGCAGGCTTGCACGTCACGAGAAGGAGGTGGGTCGTTGGTGGGTGAGGGCGGGGGATGAAGGGAAAGGGGGAAAGGGGGGGTGAAGGTTGGCGTGGGGAACAATTCGACATTTGGGGGGCGTGGCAAGTGAACGGTCGGGAGGGTGGGTGGTGGCGGGGGGAGGGGGACAGGTGGATGCGCGGGGCGGCGGTGGCTGTTGGGGTGCGGGGATGGGAGAGGGGGCCGGGGAAGATGTGTGGTTGGCGCGATTTGAAGTTTGAAAAATGGGAGGTGTTGGGGACGGGGCCGGTCCGCGCGTCCACTGGCAATCTGCGCAACGCTGTTGTTTTTCGAGGGATTTGGAGAAGCCGCGTCGGGCTGCCTTCGGCGAGGAACGGACGTCGCCGCGATCGGCGCCGTGGGTGCGAATCCTGACATGTCACCTCGCGCGGCGTGGGTCGGTCCGCTGAGGCGCGGCCAGACTGCCGAGCGACCGAGCGGCGCTCAAGGGCGCGAATCACCCCCGCGCGAGCGACGCGCGCCGATTTCAGCTTGCTCCGCGCTCGCGGATCGCCAGCTGATGGACGATGGTGAATGGCTGCCTGCTGACCTGTGCCGACTCGTGGGGCTGGTAGGTTGGCGGGAGCGGCGGAGCGAAGGCGGGGCCCCTGCGGACGGCACCGGTCCCCGGGATGGACGTCAGGCGAGCCCGTCCGGAGACGCCCAGCTGCCAAATCACTTCTCGCAGCTGAGCGTCGATTCACCAGCCCAAGGTGTGTGAAAGGGGGGCTTGAATTTCGGCCACGACTCGTTTGCGCGATTTCTGGGGTCGTTTTGGCACGGGAGAGCCGGGCTCAAGGGACCTTACCGTGGGTTGAGCCATTTACAGCCAGTTTGCTTTGGCGTTGACTTCGGGAACTGCTCGTATTCCTGGGCATTTTGTGCCCATACTGCTCCAGCATAGTAGGTTGGCGTCCGTTATTGGCTGCTTGGGTTGGGCCAACGCTTGTGTGACGTCCTCGCCACCCGCGTTGATCACTATTGCCGCAGCATTGCTTGCGAACCGCACCCGTTACATCGCTGCATCTGGGCACTGATTGTGAAACTGACCCACGGAACCTTACAAAAATGGGTGATCCTGTGTGCAAATCCCTCCATCACTGGTCTATTGCAAATTCTGTGGCAACCCTCTTTTACCGCAACGCAAAAAATTGACTTCACGAGTTGAGGCGATAATGAGAACTGGGCATTGTGTTTTTGGCTCTCAGGCCTTCGATTTTCAGCTGTTGCCATCGGCCAGCAATGAGTCCGGACTGTATAACTTGTGATGTTGTAGGTGATGAGGCCTTGAGGTTACAAATGCAAGGCAGGCAGTATGATGGGATGCGCACTTGTGATATTGCACAAGGCTCAGGCCCCACGAGCACCTCACGATGGCGCTGTCAAGGAAGCCTGTACGACACAGGAGGGGTGGGTTGGGGAGACGACCAAATGGAAGAAAATTATTCTGGGGAAGCGTCCTTCTGGTCAGGATCTGAACCAGGTCAGAAACATGGATGCTGGGGCACATTCTTTGGGGTGCTGCTGATGGTGTAGTTGATCAACACACGCAGGGTATCAACACCAGTGAGTTTTGAATCTCTAATCCCAAGCTACTTTTATGGAAAAGTTGGGTCCATTGCTCTGGCTCTTGTGCATCCTTGCTTGCGTGCCCATGGGCAGTTTCTGTTTTGCAGTGGGGCATAGTGTCCTCATGGTGTCAGTCAACTACTGAAGTATGCAATACAGCAGAAATATTTCTCAGCAACATTGAATTGATGAAGTGTTGATGTAGCCTTTGATGACAGTGTGGATACTTCAATCCACTGACGATTGTCCGGGGGACATGTGTTGATATGTGTTTGCCCTTTGCACGTTGCACTGACGTGACAGATCATTTGAGCACCAAACCCAGGACAGGAACATTGATCCCACTTCAACGCAGTTCTGTTTTCTGCTTTAATTTTTACAATTATTGTTGGGGTGCAAGCCTGATGCTAACAGATGAGCTGTGGGCCATTGGCCAGCTCGCAACGAGGCGCAAGGCGACGTGCAGCTCCAAAGATTGATCATGTGAAAATGGCTGAACCGTTTCTTAAGCAGAGAAGTTCTTCACTCAATGGAAGCATTGACTTGTTTATTTTTGTTGTGAATGATACACCTTACCCAGGGTGTCGACGCGAGCAAGAATTGTGTTTTCTGGACAGCATTGCTCTAGACGTGTCAAATGACTCTATTCAGTCCATCCAAAAATGTCTGCAACTCGAACGTGCAAAATCCGATTGGATGCCACCTGAACCCCATGCTCATTCTGGCTGTAGATGGCGTGCCAGGCCCCAGCCTGATGGATGATGTTGGTGATGAATGGGTGCGGATCAAGGCGCACCAAATGGTGACAGACCACTTGGTGCCCGGTTTGCCGCCCATTCAGGCTGACGTTGTCACAGAAGTGCCCCTCTGGCTGGCCATCCGCCTTGCATCCTGTGATCGGTGCGAGCTCCTCCTGCCACAGTGGGTGGGGCGAGATCACCTGCAGGTAATTCTCTACTGATTGCATGTGTCCAAAACCTGATGAGTTACGGATTTATGTCCCGTCCCTCTTCGTACAAATGCAACCTGAAATGTGATGCTGAAATGTGATGTAGTATGGTGGAATAAAAGAAACAGCATCACGTGATGCTGTGCACATTGCATAAATGGTAGTTGTGCTGGTCGCCGCAGGAGGTGCTTTTGAAGGAAGCCAGCAGTGAAGCATTCATAGTGGGGCTGCCCTTCCTCTATTACGAATTTTTTAGGCTGCTGTGGGCAAAGGCACGGCACGTCCTGCCCGACGGACCCCATCTTCTGACCCTGGTGGAGCAGATCCACACGCAGAGGCTGGTAAAGGCGGACAGGCTGGTGCCCAAGACGGACCTGGACGATGGGGAGTTTTCCAATCTGGGCCACGCCGAGTTGCGGAAGATTCGGCCTGTAGTGAGGGCCATAGCAGAGGCCAGGAGGCTGCTATTTGATAGGTAACTGTTTGGCATGCCTGATGGGTCGCACTTCTTTTCGGGGAAGCGGTGTGGGGGTGGGGGTGGGGTGGGGTGGGTGGGATTTTTTGTCCTGGAGCATGGAAATAGAGGCCAGGAGGAGAGGGATTGCATTGATTGCATCTGCCTGCAATGAGCAATATGCTGCTCTTGCACCTTACAGAAGACTAGAAGGAAAGGTGGAGGCGATGGTAGATTGGGGGCCGGAAGGGGGGAGGAGGGGGGGTTGAGTTAGGTCGCCTTAGTGACGACAGGGGAGCCTGGGAGTGACCGAAGAGATGCAGCAAAGCTGGGAGTCCCTTGAAGAAGGGGGCTTTTGTATCGTGGTCCTGAATTTTGAGAATCGATCAAGCAAATTGCCAATAGCTCACGTTGCAGTGATGGAGAAAAACCACAGCCGCTGATGATCTTCCATCAAGGCGTGCATGCACGGGCACTGGTCTGTGCCACGCACCGCAAGCCTACTGGTTGGGCATGTACCCACTGAAGCTGCCGCAGTCACAGTCCTATCACCACTTTTGCGTATACTTGAAGTATGTGATTCTTCACCAGAGATCGTGGTCCATTGCCTAAACATGGAGGCCGAACCCGCCTGTTCGACAGGAACGAAGCACTGCTGTGCAAGGGACGCGCCCGCCCTCAGTGAGAAACTTGTGAGGCTCTCCCATGCTGCGTAAAGTGTGTGGGACTGGCAGCTCAAGCACCGGGCAGGAACACTATCTTCATTCACGAACAGCACATGGACAGCCCCAGCAGACGAAAGGGCAGCGTTTCACCATGTTTTGCAAATGCAGTCAATGAGGATAGATACAAGATACAATATGTGGACATCTGTGTAACACACTTGTACACTTGTGCAACAACTTGTGGACATATGTGCTTTCACTCGAGTACTTGGCAATGCAGGCAGGATTCCAGTACTCAGGTACTGTAGGGGTCAGAACCTTCGCACCAACTCTCAGTCTCAGCCATCCATGTGCTCACAAGTGGCCGATATCGTGGAAACAAAGGACTATGTGATGAAACCCTTGGGCCACATATTCTGTTCGTTGTTTTTCCCAGCGTCCACTGCATACCATCCACTCTGCGTGCGCTGCACTGCACGCTGTTACAAATTGTATCTTACAATGCTCTTCAAAGTGCAAAAGCTGAGTAGAGACTGACAACCAAGAGTGTCACAGGGTGTCATTATTGTGAGGCCCTCATATTTATGACCCGCAGGGACCTCATTGACACAGAAACAAGCAATCCTGACTGCTGCCCAAATACAGTTGTTTGCATGCCACACGAACTGCAATTAGAGAACCAGAGGAGCTGTCCCCAAAGGACCAGGAGCAGCACAATCGAAAGCACGGTTCTGTCAGTGTCAGACAGTGGAGCATCACTTTCAAAATAGAAGTGCCCTACAAGCAGCGGCCAACTCCATGACTCAAGGTCAATTAAATATGGGACCCATCCTAAAACTGGTGTTCCAACCAAAAGAAAAGAATGCAATTGAAACTGTGTGCAAAATGCGTTGTACCCATGCAAAAGCGCCCCAGCACCGATCTTGACCATCAGCAACAATCTATGTCTCATGCACCCCCACATCGCCTGATCGGTGAACAGGCACCAACTTGTAATGTTTTGATATTTGTAGCCAGCGAGAACTTATGCACCTCTCCAACATTGATTGCCTGCATCATTCAGGTTCCCTGCCCCTGCTGGCCTGAATTTCCTAATGTTGCCAACCCCACAGTGCCCTGTGGCTGCAGCAAACCTCCCGTCACACCGCCAGGTTACCAGGATCTGTCGATAATCCATCTCGTCCAATCCCAGCTCTTGCAATCCAGGCTCCAGCTCACACACCACCTAGTAGCACAACAGTGGTGCCATGTCCACAAGAACGATGCTATCAACACACACTTCAGCCCTCCACAACACCTAGGTGCATGAACAGTGTTACAGCTGCAGGACAAAAGTTATCATAGCAGGAATCAAGACCACCCATTGCCCTGCGCCATTCAGGACCTAATCCTAAAAGCGCAGCACCAGGTGGGCATGCCGCTTGCTCCATCTCTATTTTCATGGCCACCAGCAATTTCCCTGCTGTTGCCTATCTCGAGGGCACTGTTCTGCAACTGGGCACAGTACCAAAACGGACTTCCACCTTCAACACTCTCACAGTCCAAGCTCCTCCCCAAGTGGGTCACCTCCTGCCAATCAAGCCCTAAACACGCCACACAGGACAACTCACAATCGCTGCACTCCCCTTGCTTCATCTCTCACTCTGCCTCCAGCTCGCCCTTCAGCGCTGCCAGAAACGTCCTGATTCTAGCTGCGTTCGCTCCCAAATCGCCCTTCCCAAGCCTGCTCCTGGACCGCATGTCCACCACCGCGCCGCCCCCCCGCAGCTCGGCCACCCGCACCACCCAGTCGTCCTTGAAGCGCATCAGCTGCGTCACACTGTAGCCCTCCACCGTGCCAGCGGCAGCATCTTCCTTGACCACCGTCCAGCGCCGCTGAGCTTTGGCCACGCGGACAGCAGTCTCAAAGACCTTGGGCACGTCCTTGGAGTCAAACACCTGCCAGGTCGCAATCAGGAGCAACTCGCTCAACAGGTGACAGGGATGTGGGGCCCCCATGATTCAATTGTATTGCGGAAAGTGTAACACACTGCCCTTTCATGCCCTACAAGCTGCCAGGACAAGTCTGAAGACAGAAAGTCCGAAAAGCTGTCTCTCAACAACCAGAGTATAAAATTGACTCAGGGTCATGGGTTCCTAGCTGGTGTGTGATCCTTAAAGCACAGTTGCCAGACTCCCCACAACCCACCCCATGCACCCATATGGATCAAGAAACTTGTTCTCTCACACACTGGATGATGCAGACAGCAGCAACTCTTACCACAGCGCTCCCCATTGTGCATAAATTTTTCTGCTTCCTTGGCAACTTGGCCTTGTGATCAAACACAAGGCCGTTCACACATGACAGTAGCAACTGTCACACAACGAACCAAGTGTTCTGGTGCCAAGTTGTTTTGAATCCTTCCCATGCCGTCACGGATGGCACAGAAATCGACGAATCCAGTTTGCATTGGGCACAAAAGGGAGGAAGTGGGGATGGACGCACCAGGTGTTGCAGGGGTGCGGGCAGTGGCCTCCCTCCCTCACCAGAGCCAAAGATTTGGGAATCTTGTTCCTCTTTTCAAAGACGCGGCAAGAGTCGCCTAATTCAGGGAGGGGGTACACTGAAAGGGAGAAAGAGGGGATGGCACAGCTGCAGTGCGTGATATAGTAGCCATTCAGCCTAATGCTCATACCCAGGTTCCGCACAAACACTTGTTGGGAGCTACCACACCCATAATTGTCTGCAAGGCACATGGTCTTGGATCTGCAGGTCGTCATCGAGGTCTGGGGTGGCCGACGGTAATCCACGCAAGGACGCACTGTAGGCAGCAGGGGTAGTGCCCCCTTCCAGCGAAGATTTATCGAATCCCTTAATCTCCTCAGAGAAAGATGAGCAACTCCCCAAAACCGTGCAAGACGACATACACAGAAACGCAGCAGGATTGGAAACCACGATCCGGCCCAAAATCCACGTCATGGCCCTCCATCCCTCAGAGAGACGGCCCTCGCACCTGGGGCTGCAGGTCTGGGTAGTGCGCCCTGATGAGCGCCTTGAACGCGGCGCTGAGCTCCCCCACCTGGACCGTGGTGAACGCCGGCGGGTTCTCCAGGTCCGTGCTAACGTCGTTGATGATCGGCGCCATGGGCCCGGCCAGCCAGCCAAGCAGGCAGGTGAGGACGCCGGAGCCAACAGCCACCGCCAATCCGGTCTTCGCGTTCCAGGGGATGGACAGGAGGGGCATTCACACCCGCGGCGGGGGGGATCTCAGGCGGCCTGAGTGGCCGTCCGCTTTGACTCCTGCGCGGTGCCGCACCGCGAGCTTGCAAGAGAGGGGTGGCGCGCGGCGTGCGCGTGGTCGGGTCGAGTGGTGCGTGCGACGGCTTTTGGCCGGGCGCCGCGCGTGTGCCGATGTGGATTGGGTTAGGTAAGCTGGGGCCGCGCCGGGTCCGGTGCTTACGGCCGGCGCTGGGGACGGTGCTGCGGAGATTTTGTTGCGGTCAGGGGGTCTGTCGGTGGGAGGCATTGGGAACACAATTACTGGCTGCACCAAATCGGTGACTTTCTGCACTAAATCGGTGACTGCTTGCACCGACTCCCTCCAAAACTTACCTAACCTAAACCCTAAACCTAAAACTGCCCAAACCCTAACCCTAATCTAAAGCTCACCCTAAAACTAAACACAAACCTGAACTGAGGTTAGGACACAGTGTGCACGTGATTTGGTGCAAGCAGTCATCGATCTGGTGCAGGCAGTAACATTATTTCGCGGCGTTGTCAGAGCGGCAGTCAGTCACGTGAACAGCACCAATGTCAAATAATCATCACTGACGCATCTCTGCTTGACGATCTGCGCCCCCTCAGGGGGCTGTACCCGTGAGTATCGCCACCATGCAGCACCACAGAAATACGCAGAGGAGTTGCGTTTCATTTGACGAAGAGGCTGCAGGTCTGAATGGTCTTGGGTCGCAACGTTAGAAGTGGCAAGAAAACCAGCCAACCATACCCGTTGCATCGTTCAGTGGCAAGCTCGTTCGCCAGAGCATGGTTGTGTGCAGTGCGTGTTACCCCTTGAGCATTTTTGATCGAATCGCACATCTGTCGAAAGGCAGTTTAGGCAGTGGAACGCCCTGAACCACAGATTGTGTGCCCGATTGAACGGGCAACATCAGCATGCTTCAACAGATGCAAGGATAGTAAAGGCACTGTGTGGTGCTTCCCCTGCTCCATTCAAGGTCATGCACATGAGCCTGCCAGGGCTTTGCACGCCCCAGGGCGATGCCTTGGCCTGTCTCTGCCAAAAACAATCACTGTCGATCAAGCTGAGAGTTGGAAATGAACATTGGCCTTATTGGCCGATGTCCAAGCATCCAAAGGAGCCCGCACCAAACCAGAGCAGTAGTCTTCGCCCCATTCATCAAGATTGACTCCCAATCCACCATCCTGCCTTACAACTAGGAGTCTCACTGTGAGAGCAAAATCTCATTCAGGCCAAAGCAAGGTGCCAACACAAATACAAACTCAGCAACCAGCAGCAGCCGCTCCTGTTCTAATCCAGCCTACTTGGATACACACAGCACCACTCCCAATGGCAATTGATCACTCTTGAGTGACACACTGGCATTGGGTGGGTAAAAGCGTTTCATGCAACTGGCTGGTCCCTCCTGCCCAGCTTAACATCTCAGTGTGGTGCCCAGACTTGCAAGCCATGCCCGAACTTAGAATAAGCACGGCTGAACTGGCAGCTTCCATGACCTCGGATCAACGGGAGCTCCCTGAGTGCATATAACATATCTCTCCTGATAGCCATGTTTTCCCCAATTGGCAATAGAGCACCCGATGCACAGTTGGCACTGCAGTATGCTTATACTTCCTCTTCTTGTTGCAGGAATGGGTTGCCTACAATCTCATCAGTGCCAGTGGTGGGTGCAACGAGCATCACAGCTGGTCCTCGGCACACCTTGGAAGTGATTTACAGGGTTAGTGCCAGCAGCAACATCACGAAGGCCACACATAACTCTGATAAATCAACAACAGAGGAAGGTGCACGTTCTTGAAGACAGCAGCAGGAACTGAACGATGTAAACATGTATGCATATACGACTTGCACCACGCATTTGCAAGTTGGGCAATACACAGCCTGAGGGACACAATTCAGAGTTGAAAATGAGCTTGTCATATACAAAAGTAAAAGAGCTGTGTTGTCATTTGCCACGAATGCACTCGACAAAGTACTACACCATCTCATCCAGACCAATCCATTATTGTTGGCCAGTGGAAAGAGTGTGTGCAAACAGCAGACTGGGGCAGCCTACCACAAGCCCAAGTGTCCTTGTTTCATCGGTTATCCGATAATTGTCATCAGGATCTGCACAGATAAACACCAAGAAGTAAACCTGCAAAGATTTCGGTGTTTTGATTGAAGTGCATGCCATACTGCATTCATGAGGGCTGGTCAGTTGGCAGGGTAATAAAGCAGAATGACGTAAAGCACCAGACAGCATTGCCCAGCATCAAAGTCCCATTGTCTGGCGCAGGTGACCTTCCTGGTGTGCCTCAATCCCAGCCCAGTCTGGGCATGCATCTGCAGATCGCTCACTACCAACAGGCAGAAACCTCGAAGCAAATGTTTGACGATTGAATGAAGTGGCCAAACGACTCGGTCAAACTCCGGTGTACCTCGATGGTTCATCCCCAACCACATACACTTTCACTGAACAAGCTGTGCATCAAGAATTGAGTCCTCACCTCTTACAAACTCGTTGGTCTCATCCAAAACCAAGTTCATCAGCTGGTCGTAGCCCTTCAGCACCCCAGTGACTGCAGTGAACGTCGTGCAAGTGTTGGCAGGGCACCAATTCGGATCGGTCAGTTGGAAATTGAACACTCTCGGAACAAACGCACTGAGCAATATCATGCAGACTTTGGCCAATCGCCATCGGCCGATCCACGGTTAACGGTCAACCAGTTCTAGAAGGAGTCTCACCGGAATTATCATTGCAAACCCGGGCCACGTGAAGCAACTTTCACCACACGCCCCTGAGCAAGCTGTTCTAATTCAGCATCGCTCCAGGACGCGCTGGGCATAATTTCCTGATACTCCACCCCAATCCCTACTCCCCCGTGGCAAAAAGGATCTGCTCGCCGACCAGTGCGAGTCCCGCAAACCATCCAACCGGGCAACTCAGCCATCCCCAAGATCCCCCCATTTTCTGCACCAATTTTTACTGGCCAGGCCGCACGGAGGGTTCCAATTCATGCCTGCGTCCGTCCGGCCTCCAGTCGCGCCGACGGCGCGGCCATCCGGCCGGGCGTGCGGTGGGCATTCGCCTTGCCGCACCTTCCCTGCCGCCCATCAGCTTCACCCTGAACCCCTTGTCCACGAACTTGGCCAGGTCGACGGCGTTCTCCTTCTTGGACATCTTGTGGACTGCTCAGGGTCTTGGTCTCGCCGCTCGCGCGCCGAGAGTGACCGTCGTCCCGGCGAGGCGACAGAATGGAGGGCGGGAAGCAGCCTTTCCTAACTCCGCATGTTTCCTGAAGTCAGTGACTCGCAGTGTTGGGCATTTTCTTTTTTCATAATGCCAAAAATGTTTGAGCACGTTAGACGCTCAACAGACGGTGAGAGTGATAGGGTGTTCGGATTCAGTACATTTTTGCTTTCGCTGTTGAAACTATCTACCAGTCTTTTCCGTTTGCTACGTACACGTCGAAAACGCGACAGAGGGACACAGCTTTTCCTACTGAGGCAAGCCCGCCTCGCTTTGCGACGCTGCCGTCCATCTTTGCCTAAGCGGTCAGAAAACTGGGGCACTGTCGCAGATTGAAATTCTATGGGTGGCGAAGCTGCAACCCCTTACGGCATTCAATTGCAATTGCAGTGCAGTTGCGCGTCTGCCTATGCCCATTGCTGGAGCTCGCGACCTCTTCGGTAGTTTTGGTACCCTCAAGCCCAAACACAACACCAATGAGCACCTCACGGTTTCTGCAAAAGAGGGGTAAAGGCCAACGTTATTAACTTTGAGGTCACTTGGGGAAGACGCTATTTTGATTTTGGTATGCTTAACGTCAAATTGATGCTGACGTCAGACGGTATCCAAACCCGCCGCGATCGTTGGTGTCAGTTTTTATGCCGTTGTCGCATCGCAATCTTTGTTGGGCTGGATAAAGCGACCCCCTGACACTGTGCCCTGTCGTTGATGGACCCATCAACGACAGGGAGACCCATCTCCCAGATGGTGGTAGGTGATCATCAGTGACCCCGGCCAACAGACGACACCACGTACGAAAACGAGTCGTTGCACGTGTTGCATCCGTTGCATTGGCCGTGGAGGTGCCCTAGTGAAACAGGCCTGCAGAGTTGGCTGGGGCAAGCAATGTTTATTTCCATAAACCCACGTGGAGGTGATCACCACACGGCTTTGGAGCACCAAAAATAGCAGGCCCAAGAATCCCGGTACCTTTGTCCGTTTAAAAAAAACGTGGCACACAGTGGGCACTAACCTCATGACCAAGCTGTTTGTGAGACATCTTAGCCATTAAGCACAGTGAAGAAATTCATAATCTTCAATTTCAGGGTCCCATTTGCAATTCCTTTCAGGCAATCTGACAGTCTCGCGCTCAAGCTCCACGTGCAAAACGCACCGAAATGGATAATTCGCGCCGGCAGCCACACCATTGGGCAGGCGACCCATCCGCAGCGCGGCGTGGGCGCCAACCGCCTCCAACCGCGCATCCCAATGCGCCGCCGATTCACCCACCGGGCGCCCCGCACCGCATCGCCATGCGCCCGTTTTCCAAACCCCGGACCACCGCAAATGGCCCCCGATTCCCCAGGTCCCGATCCCAATTCCCCCTCTCCCGCCTGCCAGAAACGCGCCCCACCCTGTCAGCCCCATTTCCCGCCACTCGCAGCCCATCAAAGGCCCCCCCAGTTTCTGTCGCTTCCCATTTCTTGGTGCCCAACCCCATTCCCGCAACCCAAACTTTCAAAGGCCCTCCTCGCGGGTCGCGCTCGCCGGTGGCGCCATGCGTCGGGACGCCCAGCCCGGGGCCGACCTCGCGCCGGCCGGCGCCGATCCGATCACGCCACCCCGGTCTCCCGGCTCCCCGCCATCCAGCCCGCGCACGCCCGTAGGTCGAATCGATCACCATCGCCCGGGAGCGGGATTGTCGACAGGCGGAGGCGGGCGGTCGAGCGGGAGGATGAGCTGGGCGGACATGGTTGACGAGGACGGGGGAGGGGATGTGCCACCGGCGGGGGATGGGGGGAGGGCGAGGGGGGGCAGGGAGACGGACGAGACGCGGCTGCGGTGGCGGCAGAAGCAGATCGACCTGGGGAAGCGCACTCTGGGGTACAGACGATACACGGAGTCGGTGCCCAGGTGGGTGGGTGGGTGAGCGGGGATTGGCGGGGAAGGCGGCTTTTCGGCGCGATTGTGGGGGTTTGGAGGCGTGATTTCGGCATGGCGGGATTTTGTTGCGCTGGTAGGTGGGGAGGGCGGTTGGGGGCGGAAATGGAAATCAAAGGGGTGGAGGAGGGGATGGTGGTGGTCTGGCGTATATGCACGCCCGTGTGCGCTTTCGCGGGCATTTTGAGCGTCCGCGGGTGCGATGCTGGCCCGACGAGCACTTTTGATTGGTTGGGGGTGGGAATGGCAAGGGGTGGGAAGGGGGGTGAAGGGATTGGACGCGGGCGGGGCGCGGAGTGGGTCCTCCGCCGTAGCGTAGGACCGCCCATTTTCGATCGTTCTGCAAGCTCGGGAGCGCGATTTCGTTCCAGCGGGATTCTTGCGGGTTGACTGGGTGGTCCGGAAGGGGGATTCGAAGGGGCGGCTTTTGGTGCCCAGGGACCAGCGCCGGAAGAGGTTCCGCCTGTCGTGCCACCCCGAGACGCCCGAGAAGTACCAAACGTGCAGCAAGCGAAGCTTCCAGGGGCAGGTGAGCACGGGCTGGCAGCGCCGCGCCCAAATATGAATCGAAACATCAAACCCAGGCCAGAAACAAACCCCAGGACAAAACGAATCCCAGCCATGAAATTGGCGAGAGGCAGGAAAGGCGGGCCCGCCTCGCGTTCCCGACGTGGCGCGCATTCAGCGTTTCTGGCGGCGCTGCGCGTTGGAATTATGCCGCGCATTGGGGCGCCGAGCGGCCCGCGGAGGCCGCCGCTGGCTTTGGCGAAGGCCGGGGGGCGGGAGGTTAATCGGCGGATTCTGTGCTCTCCAGATAACGAAGTGGCGGAAGCTGCTGCACTGGTGGGACGAACCCGGCCACAGGGACGCCATGACGCGGGACTGCAGCCCAAAGGTGCGCCCACAGTTGACCAAAGTTTGAGCGCAGTTTGACCGGTCTGGAGTGGAGCGGGCGGCGAGCAAGGGGTGCCAATCCTTTTTGCCTTCCCGACGAGCATGCCCCAAACTGCCCCGCCAAAATGAAGCAAAATGGCCGGCCCAAAATGACCCGCCAGCCCCACCTCTTTGACTGCCCATGCGCAGGGGAGCTATGCGTCGACACATCCGTCCTTTGCTCTTCCGATGGACAGCTGTTGTGCGTCCAACCAGGGGCCCAATGGTTGCAGAGTCAGTGGGTTGTCAAATTGTTGTGCATGTAGAGGAAAAAGGATTCTACAAGCGATCTTTCCAAGCGCCGCTACACCTCAGCAAATGCAGCTGCTGCTGTTTGTGTGGCCTAAACGGGCATTGGCAGCATATTTACAGGTACATTACATTCCCTTCAACTCTTCCAATACACTGGATTCTCAAAGAAGCATCGTTGCAAAGTGAACCTTATCGCATGGCAGGGCACTGTCACTGCACACTTTGCAACGATTCTGTTTTGGATTCCATCTGCCAGAGACGAGTGCCGTGTTTGCTTGGCCAGGTTGACTACATCGGGAGCTTTGCACAACTGTCCCTTGGGTCGCCCATGCCAGTGTCGCCGATCGGCTGCTGGAGGGTCCCCGGGCAGTGCAGTGGATGGGGTTGGTACGGCATCCCGGCCAACTGGGGGATGTACGGATCACCCTACCCATGGATGATGCATCCAATGGTAATGCAACTCTTGTTTCTGTGTTGCTGCCCTTCTCTTTTCTACTCCATGGTGCTGCATACACTCTTGCAATTTACAGATACTGCCTATTGGAGTGCACATGGAGCTGGTGCCTTCCTAAATTCCTTATTCCCTTGCCTTTTTTGCATTGCAGGATGAGCGGAGTAATGTTGTTTTTAGATTCCAAACCATGACATCACGTTTCAGTGTCCACGAAGTGATAGCTTCTGTCATCGAATGAATTGACCTGTCAAATTGGTGTTGCTCCGCAGGCCCACGGCTATCACAGCCCGGGCTGGTACCCAAACGCCAGCCCCTGCCCCAGCACTCCCAGTCAGTGGTCCACGCACAGCCCAGAATCCAGGCGCTGGGATCCCATCCGGTGGCCCCTAGCCGACGACCACGTTGGGCTGCCCTTCACCACGCCCCCGCACCAAAAATTCACCGAGGGCAGAGTGGGCTGGGCCAAGAAAGGCAGGCGCGCTAAGCACCGTCACAACCACGGCAGCCGGGGCAGCAACAAAGAAAATGATTTGGCACCAGCCACAAGCGGGGATGGAGGCAGCGAAGGGTGGCCGCCCGCGACTTCGCACACCTGGTATGTGGATTCAGGACTGAACAATGCTGAGATGGCTGTGGATAAGGAGGCGAGTGCAGGGGAGGACTTGTCTGATGAAGAAAGTGGAGCAGGGGGTGACGAGAATGGTGGTTTTGGTGGTGCGGTGGGAACTGCGCTAGTGAATGCTGATGGTGTTCGGATTGATAATGGTGAGGGAAGAGAAGGCAGGGCCGAAGGGGTGAGTGATGACCTTGACGATGAGTACGGGGACGAGAATGCCTCCCCGGGGTTCCGGGTTGCCGGTGTGGAAAATGACAAATTCAGCAAGGTTGGGATGGAGGGTTTGGGGCGTGGCAGTGCAGGGAATGGGGCCAATGCCATGAAGTCTATGAGGGCAATGAGGGACATTGGCAATTCGTTTGTGGGATAAAGCCGAGGGGCTTCCAACGGCCCCATTGGCAGGCCTTGGGCTGGCAGTAAACACATACAGGGATAGTAGCTGGGTGATGCATATCGCGGGATGGATGTTGCTGGGCATTGGTGGTCATGATCTATACCGGGGGTGTTATGAAATATCTGGGACTGACCAGCCGTGCGGCTCTCCTTACTTGTTGGGATATTGGTCAATTTGAAGAATTGATCCCCTCTACGTTTCTGTGAGTCTAATACGATGCCCTGCAGGCGCTCTGCTGCTTATCTCACTGCCACAGCAGTTGCATGTGATGCCACTGTTGATGACTGGCTTCACATTGCTCCAGTGTTGACTGTCTAGAGAAAACGCTTGTCTTCTTGACATGCAGCAATGATCCTTCCATTACTGAAAGGTTGTTGTCCATCAAGGCAGGAGTGACCCAAGCCGCTGCCTGCACCACTGCGAATTCCATGCATCTGCCTTCCAAGAGACACCACTACCAACCCTCAGGGCTTGACACACTTGTTTGCCATTTTCACGAAAGCAAGGCCAGCCTAATCTTCAAGCAGCATGCCCTGCTGCTTAATCAGTCAACTTTTGACAGCAATGGCAGTGCTACCCCCTATATTCAACACTCCAAGAAACACCCCAAGACATGGTTGAAGTGGAAATATCGCATTCAAAAACTTCAGCACTTGAGGCACTGAGAAGCACACACTCCCTCAAGAGCTGAAGTTTCTGAAGCTTCAAACCATTTCTTGGCAATTAGGCTTTACAAGTGAGAGCTTGTCCCTACTAGTGTCACCATCCATTTGCTTGCATCTGTAGTTGCAGGCACTATCCAGTTTGGGCAGTGGCTCATTGACTGTCAGCATGCGGTCAACAGAGTGTGTCAGTGGACACAAGGCTCCACAAGGCGATAACAACTTTTCCCTCCGAGATAAATATCACAGAAAGTATGACACAGCCACGGCTAACCCTCCAACCAATGTCACAGGCGACGTCAACCAGCTTCTCCAGCGGCCCTTCTGCCACTCGGCAACGACTTCGGCCACCTGAGCAAGGGAAGCGACAAACCAACAAACGTTGGCCACAAGCAGGTGAACAGGTGCACATGCTGCTTGGCAACGCCTTGCCAAACGAACAAACGTCTGTGTGGTGTCTATTAGGTTTGCGTGGGCCAGTGTCACCCTGGAACCACCCTCAGATCTCAAGGCCACGAGGAAAGCGGGCTGTGGCAATCCACAAAGACTGTCACAAAAGAGAGAAGCGCTGCAGTATCAAGATCTTTGAAGCATATTACATACGTCTGTACAGTTTGGTACATGCCTCTAAATCACATGGCAGCACATCAAGCAAGTGTCACCTGCCGGGCCAGTTCCTCACGACTGCCACTGTTGTCCAAGCACACGTCTGCCAATTCCCGCTTCTGTGCCAATGGCATCTGCGAGTTGATCCTCGCACTCGCGTCCTGCTGAGAGGAGCCATCCCTCGCCATCAACCGCGACAGCTGTGGAAAACAGCAGTGCACGCAATCAGTATGCTACTCAACATATCGCAGTAGTATGCTACATGGTTCTCACTACAGAATACACTATGTCTGGTACCACACAATGCTATACTGTACTGCTATTAGAACTTCAATCAATGCTCAACATAGAATGACACGGTGAATATGGTGCATTGTAGGAATACAGCCAGACATCACATATGCGATTCTGCCTTGGTTGCATCCATCACATGGCACCATTCATGTGCATGCACCTGGTCCAGGCCACAGATCCATTATGACATTGCCTCGTTGCGATCACCGCCCACATAACTGGATTCTTCCAGGGTGCTAGCTCATGGCCAGGAAAGGCACCCACAAGTAACGCTTGATGGCCAGATCCTGAAGGAGAGCTGGTCTGACGAGGTGTCGAGGTATAGGCAATTATCCTGCCCAAACTCCCACAAACCTGTTGTTGTACAGCTTTTTAAGAGGGGCTAAATTGGCGGCTTTAAAAGCCCTGTCGCATGCTCCTCGCGCACCCCTGTGCTGTGTATCTGAGAATCAATTGACACCTGCGTGATACGGTTTCAGACTGGCCAGACTCTAGCTTGCTCCATCAACTGCCAATGCACCGCTGCGCTGACACACATCTACGTTCCCCACCAAAATTGCAGTCTCTGAATACAAATAAGGAAAATGCTGTGTCGATTTCGGTATGCTTAGCGTCAATTTGATGTTAAGCTCAGTGCCCCCCCCCCTCCCCTAGCGTCAATCCTTACGTCGAAGCCAGGATGGCTCAGCAACATTACCTCACGGTGGTATTCACCTTCCAGGTGTTTCTAAGGAGAAAAATAATGCTGATTTCAGTGGGCTGAAAAATCGGATTCTAAATGCCGTTATAGGTGAGGCGGGCAGCCTCAATGGCTGCAAATTGATCCATTCTAAGGCCTTCTCTGAAGATCAAACACTTGCAACAGGCTTAGGAACATGTCAGGGGTTGTTTGCCATTTATCATTGGCGTTTCTGGGCACCTTCCTTCCTTATATCGATTTTGTGTCAATTGCATAATCCCTAAGCATCACAGGTCTGGGACCCCCCCCCTCTCCCCCCTAGCATCAATTTGACACTAAGCATACCAAAATCGACACAGTGCCTTCCCTAACATTGGAGAGAAGTTAACATCCGGCGTGTAATTATGAGAGAAATGCTGTGAAAATCACCAATGAAAATTTGCAGAAAAACATCTATTGATTCTGTGTAGGTGCAAAGGCTGCCATTTTCTATCCATTATTATCTGTTATTGTTTTCCACCATGGACGAATAGCAACGTGCCAAAGTTGCTCACCTGAGTATGCTCATCGCAATCCACCAGCACAGCTGGCTTGAAGAAACCCTGCGCCTTGATGTCGAACAGCAAAGGCATGTCCACCACCTGCCACACAGTCATACAGACTAGACTTACACCTGATGCTACCTTGTGCTATTGTGTACTGTGCTGTTTTGATCGTGGAGCAAAAGAGCACAAAAGCAGCAGCCACACATTGAAAATTGGGTAAGCCTTTAGATGCTGGCACTGTGTGTTGGGATACCTGATGCTACCTTGTGCTATCGTGTACTGTGCTGTTTTGATCGTGGAGCAAAAGAGCACAAAAGCAGCAGCCACACATTGAAAATTGGGCAAGCCTTTGGATGCTGGCACTGTGTGTTGGGATTTTGTGCATAAAGGGGCTTCAAAGACGCCCAAAACACAAGCTTCTTACAATAAGGGCTGTGGATGCCCACAAAAGGGCCTGTACACACAAACTACAAGAAAACAGACCGCAAACACACATAGCAACGTGTTCAAGATGGAAGCTCTGAAAAGGCAGCTGGAAGGACACGAAAAGCAGGTGGCCAACACCCAGGCCCCATTGCCAATAAACAATGGTCTGGGACTTAATGCTGTTTGAACAAGATCGAAAATTATGCAAGTATGCCAATGCATTATGTCATACATTGCCAACATTAGTCAACAATCCTCCAGAGCCCAGAAGAGGAGCCAAAGAAGGAAAAAAGTTGAAGGGGTAGTGCGCTGCAGGCTTGAATGTGAGTGGAAACGACAGGGACCCTGTTACAATGTCCAAGATTGTTTGCAAGTCTGCTGGATCGTGGCTGCCTGCCACTTGACCTGCACAAGACCCATGTGCAGAGACTTGTCCAGATGTGAGCTGACAGTGGATGCTGACAAATTGCCGAAAAGCATTCAAGACACTCCAAATCGGATCATGGCCTAAACAGCTGCACTGATACCTTAATATGGCTCTGTGATTGCTGCCCATGCAACTTTGCGATGTACATGGCTGCATCAACACCCACTTTGCCTTGAAATTCGATCAGAGGTATGAAATTTTGCTCACCACCACATGTGCACAAAGCATCCAGTGGGTCAGCAGTTGACGAGCCATCTCCAGCAGAACTGGTAGATGTGTTGCGCGGTTCAGTTTCTTCCTTGCCGCTGGATCGTTGAACACGATACGCCCCAGTAGATCGCGGTTCAGCTCCCCTGTTCAGGGCCCAAGCACCGCCTTCACAAATATTGTTCGCCTTCACCGGGGTATGCGAGGGCCACAAGCAACGATGCTTGGAACTTTTCTGATGACAATCACAGCTGAACTCAACCAAAGTACAGAATGCAAAGGGTTGGGGAATGGGAGGGTGCGCAACTCTGTTTGCTGACAAGCACACACCCAAGGTTGTTATGTTTCCACAGTTGACGGCAGTATGTGAGGCACATTGATTTTTGACAGCGCAGACAGAAGGCCAGCATGCAGCCTCCAGACGACTGCAGAGTGGACATCACCTCCTTTGATCTTTTCTATATCAACCGAGAAAAGGCATTGGCTACCGATCATGACAGGGTGCAGACATTGTTACAGCCCAACTGGAAGTTAGATTGTACAATATTGTCTTCAGGTTGTGGAACTGGTGGGGTGCAGAAATATAATCAAGGTATGCCAAACAGCACTGGTCAGTTGTTGTTGCAACCTTCACCTCTTTTCAGGTACAAGGTCACCTTTCGCCTTGTGGTAATGACATATGCATTCATGAAATCTTGCAATCCATGGATTTAGGAATGTTAATTATCAACCATGGTCATGGGTTATTGTCTCAAGCTAGTGGAAAGGATCCAGATGGTGCATTGATTGTCTCTTGATTATGCTTTGTCATGAATTTGTGGATAATTGTGCATTAGAGCTGTAACTATGCATGAAACAAGCGCGAGCAATCAAGGGCATGCATACCATTGTCAAGAAGGATGTCGTTCCCAAACGCTGCCACAACTCGCCGCCAGGCCCACCGCCCCTACAGGAGCATAAATCCTACTCAATCACGCCCGTGGGGAGGTCCACATTGACAGGACACGAGGGTTGAGTGTGTGTACAAGGTGAACATCGATTGTCCACCATCAACAACACATGTCATACAATCTGCTTCCCACACACACACACAAACACAACCACAGACACCCTTCATCATCCCTGTTATGTCCATATTTAGATATCTCCATATCTACAAACGAAACAGGAACTGGGAGCAACAAAGATCAGCTGCAATCCACAATCCATACATCCACAATTTGCCCAGCACACGCTCGGTGCGTGCAGGGATGCTGCTAACCATTCGAAAATTCATCGCACTGCCCACCTGACCTGCTGCCAATCAGATTGCCCCATTTCCAGGCTCAGGCTCCACCCCCCAGTTTCCTGGTTCAGCCCTTATCACGCATCGAACCCCGCAGCCCGAATCCACTCCATGACCCCAAGCGCGCTACTCCGAAAGGATGACAAGTGTGGGTGGCTCTAATGCCAAAATACAGGCCATCCGAAAGCAAGACATTGGTGGGTGGTAAGATTGCTCAAGTGCAGGCCATCCGAAAGGAAGGCAAGGGCGGGTGGTTCGATGCCCAAGTACAGGCCATCGGCTCATTTGCGCAAACAAGTGTTATGAGCAGATGGCGGACCATGGCGGCGGGTGCGCAGCTCACCGGCTTCACCACCTCGTGCGCGATCACGTCGCAATCCACGACGGCGATCCCGTGCCCAGCGATGAGTTCCGACGCCGTGCTCTTCCCCGTGGCGATGCCGCCGGACAGTCCGACGATCTTCATGGCGCGCGGCGCGCCTCCCCGCGGGCGCCGCGGCCCCCAACGGCCGGCCCTTCGAAGCGGCGGAGCGGGGCTGAGAATCGGGTCGGCGGCCACGATGCCCCGCGAGCCCAGGCGTTGGCCGCGCAGCCTCCTGGAAGCTGGAGTCAATTTTGTCGGACTGAAGCGAACATCCAGGAAAAACAAGTC